CTTCTTTATTTACTTACTGGTGCCGCTGATGGTCCATAGAGGTTCTCACTACACGTGGACCCAATATCCCATCTATTAATCAATCGGTCATTTCCATACCCCATCTGGTAATGGGCGCCAAATGTATCACCGCTTCAATACCCTATCCAATATGAGCATAAACAAAATACTTTCCAATCCCTTAAGGTATGGGACTTCTCAGCCCCATTTGACTAAGGTAACATCCACGGTAAGTTTGCCCTATATATCGCGTTCATACACCTTTTTTTATGACACTCGATAATCTTTTGGTTTGATAATGTTAACTAACACATACATGTCCACACCATCATTTAGCCACCCATTACATGCAACAATCTCATTTTATAATTACAGGACAATAGGCGATAATTAAATAGACAATATAATTTAATATACGATAATTAAAGAAGGCGAAATCAAGACATTCATTCAAAGCAGTTAACTGATAGGGATAAAATGGTTGAATAAATTAATAAGTGAGAAATCAATTAAACCTAATAAATTAAAGTGCACGTAGTAGTGGTAAACAAATAAAGCAGTATAACAATAAATAAGTAGTATAGATAAACTAGGACAATTACATACTGACCAGTTATCGCCTTCATCGGTGACTTGTATTTAATTAATCAAGGGTTGCCAATATTTATAAAATTTACCATTTATTATTTATTAGACTTTAATTAACTGTAACGGAAGAAAAGATAAGAGATTCTTACTCCGGGTCAATGTTCAAAACATTGCCTTTTTTACTGCATTTCCTGGCGATTCCCAATTCCTGAATTTCTTGGATTTTTCTACGAAAACCAAAATATGCGTAAAAATATCTCGGAAATACTTGAAGAATGGCCAAAAAAAGGGTTTAAAATTTTTTGGGGCCAGTTTAGGGTTCCAACATGGCGGCACCGCTGTGCTCCGATGCTAGCTCTACCGCCTATAGTGATGCCTCCTCTTGATTTGGTAGATTTCAGCGACCCTGTGCAAAAATCTGCAAAACTGGAGGTTAGGTGGCCTCTGCTAGCAGAAAAAAAGGAAAAAATAGAGACTTACCAGCATATAGGGTTTCTGGTGCAGTGGCTCTGTCGTTCCTCCCTCGCGGTTGGGATTTTTCTTCAGTCACCCTACACTAGAAACGAGTCAGGAATTCAACGGTAAGAAAATAGAAGGGAAAGGGAAGGGGATTCGAGCTCACCATAGGGGTTTTGGGTCGCGGGTGTGGCGGCCTGGCTGAGTTTCACCTTCTGTTTTCGGCTTCTCCTTTGGTTTTTCGACACTGGTATCGGTTTAGGGCGACTTAGAATCAAAATATGAATCAAAAGGGAAGAAAAAACTCACCTTCCCATGTCGGTGAGGGTTTCGGTGCAGCGGTGATAGTGGTCGGCTTCTTTTTCGGCGAGCTAATTGTGGCTAGGGTTAGGATTTCGGTGGAAGAGAAGTTTAAATACTCCTTTTCCTTCAATCTGAGCCGTCCGTTCGAGGATGCGTTGCCCAATGTTAGCTGTTAGATTCGTCTTATTTGAAAAATAAATCAGAACCACACGATTGGATGCAATCAGGATCGTTCGATCGCGCTTGAAGGAGAAACGAATATGGACCGTTCATGTGCGCGGGAGTGAATCTAGGTCGCCGGATCAATTGGCAAGTGGATTTCCTGTGTGGCTTCCTGTATGGATGCGTATCTGTGTGTCTGCCACGTGACACACAGCGACTGGCTGCGCTATTGATGTGGCATTCCTACGTGGCCACTTTTATTTTTTTTTTCACTTTTGCTACAGTTTTTCAATTTTCTTTTCAAATAGGTCTTTTCTTATTTCTAATTTGGCCCTAACTTTTGAAAATTATTTTCAAATACGCCCAAAATGAATATTTTTTCAAAATTATTAACAAAAATTAAATTTTTAAATTTTTAAATTTATTATTAATATAATTTTGATTATCCCGAACCTAAATTCCGGACTCAGGTGTTACAAAAAGTATATTAGTACTTAATGTATTAAATTGAAGTGTAAACTTTATTTTTGTGTGTAAAGACCAAATTTATAATTTCTAATTTTTTGACGGATCAAATTAAGAATATGAAAAATTTACAGGCATGTTTGCCCATAAATAGGTAGTTATAGTGTAATACCTGGGCCCTGAATTTGGTCCGGGAATAATTTTAACAATTTAAATTTATAAAAAAATTATTTTTAAATTAATTTATTTTAATTTTTTGTTGAATTATGAAAAAAATATGTTATGATAAAATTGAAAATAATTTTGGGAAAAAAGGATAAAAATTTGGGTTCAGATGGTGTTTTTGAAAGAAAAATCAGAAATTGGGAATTATAGTGCAAATAAGGAGAATTTTACCACGTAAGACCACCCAGTCAGCAATCCCAACGAACTGGAGCACATCGCGTGGCAAGGTGCATTAATGTTGGATGCCACACGGGATACCACGCTGGCAGTCTGCGTGGCATGCGATTGAACGACCCAAGATTGATCCTGCGCGCGTGGATGGTCCAGATTTGTTCTCCCTTTAAACGCGATCGGACGGTCAAGATCAAATTATGATGAACAGTCCAGATTCATTCTTATTTAAACGCGATCAAACGGCCGATATCAAACGCGATGAACGATCCAGGTTAACACGAAATAGGTATAAATATTTCACATCCACATTGAACTCAAACCCTAGTTGCTAGCCTCCTGCTAGAGAAGGGAGCCGATCACCGACCGTCGCCACACTTGAGGCCACCTCGATTTGCCAAAAAAGNTTCTCTGTTACAACAAATTAAAACTTAATAATTAATAATTATGTATTTTTATGAAAAATTAGAGAACCTTAAAAATAATTATAGGTCATTAGTGGAAGCGGAACCAGTTAGTTGACAGTTGTTTTGATTTTCTGTTTATTTCCCTATATTGCCTATATTTATTTACTATTATACTGTACGTAACTCAATTGATGATTTTTGGGGCCTTTTTTGTTACTTTGTTATTTATTTCCCCTGCATTACGTGCTGGTATCCCGGTGATTGATTATTTGGCAGTGTGAAACTAAATTATTGTTTAAATGAACGATAAGTATAAAATGATATATGGTTATTGCATGATTGATTATTATGCTAATGGAAATCTGTATAGGGAAGACTTACTGGGTACCCAGATAAGGACGGATGGACCCGGTACATAAGGAACCCTATCGTGAACGTTACCGCAGTCAGACGGGGTTGGAAAATCCTTTACCAGGAAAGTTTGGGAGATATGGTTCACTCTCATATTGGAGGGGGTATCGAGGTGGTGACATGTTTAGCGCCAATATCGGACGGGGTATGAGGACGGTCGGTTAACTGTTTAATTGGATATTAGATTCTCGAGTAGGAGGACATCCCTATAGACCCCCTAGAGTACTGGTAAGTGGGTAAAAATGTAAATGATCATTTCTTGTTATCTTCTATGTGATAAATAATTGTACATGAATATAAGTTTTTATAAGTTATTATTGGGAGAGATTTACTACACAAATGTAGAATAAATAGTTTTCTTTATAGTAAATGAATTTACAATAAATTAAGGGCTCAATTGGTTATTTTTTTAATTTTTATCAATATTCAGTTTTCCGTATATGTGATTAGTGTGATATTCTTACTAGGCTAGTGTAACTTACCCCTTCATTAACTATTTCAAATCAAGATAACCAAAATTCAGATCCCGATCAACAAGAGGGTTGCAAATAGTTCACCACCTGAACTCTTTTCAAAAGCTAGTGAATGTCGTCTTAGGATGTTTAATGATTTACTTTTCATTTATTTATTTGATTTCCGTTTACTCTTTTAAGAAGAAACATTCTCGTGTCTCTATTGGGTATTCTAAATTATTGTGTAAAGAATGTAAACTCTAATTCTATTATTTCGCTTCCGCATTTAATTTATAATTTTATTATTTTCATTTAAGTTCCGGTCCTTTACATATAGTCTTCAAATTATACGTAAGATTTTTTATTATGATATCTCATTAACAGAAATAGAAAGAGTGAGAAAACTTAAAAAATTACGTGCTAATTTAAAAAATCTATTGCATGTTGTACAGATTTCTTATGTTATGGATTCAGATATACTTTCATTACAAATCTAATTTATTTGATTTGATATAAGTATAGTTATTTAGATTTCATATCTAATTTTAAAATCCCTATATACTTAAGTAAGATTAGAATAAATTTATTATCTTTATAAAAATAAATTAAAAATTATATTTTGAAACGAATATAAACATAAATTTATTTTTACATTCAAATTTATGGGGAGAGCCGAATTTCATTGAAGAAAATTAAAAATTATTCAGGAACATATTAAAATTTCAATAATTTAATAAATCTAAAGTTAAATATTGAACTCTTAAAATACAAATACACCATGATACTTCTTTGAATGAACCAACTCCATTCATAAAATAAATGTACCAAAGTACAAAAAATAAAAAATAAAAAATAAAAAAAAAATCCCTTTCCCCCTTTATTTAGTACCAACTGATATTTAGTAATTAAAAAAATAATTTAATATTCTAATTTTATACATGAAATATATTAGTTTATTATAAATTGGAATTTAAGTTTTTTCAGCAAATGAAAATAAATTAATATTTTTTAAAAATACAATAAAAATGAAAAAAAAAAATAACAAATACAAAATAAATTCCACAAAGACGTGTCGGCAAGAGGCATATTCTAATATTTAATTTCATTTTATTTTAAAATGATTTTTTTTTTTTTTTACGTGAAATGGTTTTGGGAATAATTAATTTCTACTTAATAGTTATTACTCAGTTGATTATATTTAAACTTACTTATCAATTTTTGTCTAGATGATTTTTACTTTTTATTTTTTATTTAAAATTTATAAATTTATATTAAAATGGGTATTTTTTTTTTATATATATGCAAAAAATCCGAAAAAGAAAATCCTTTTTTTAATTTTGAGAGGAAATTGAAGGGAAAGAGCGAGGGAAGAGAAGGGGTTATGATCCAACTAAAAAGCTCTTTGCTGTCTGTCTCTCTGTCAAACCTATGAATGAAATATACAACCATTTTTTTTTTTTTTTTTTTAATCCAAGGAATCTTCTTCATCTGGTTTCTTCTTCTTCAACCAAATTTTGCTCAGCTTTCTCTTTCGACATCTCTTCCTCTTTCTCTTTCAATTCATACTTGTTTTTGGTAGAGAAACTCTTTCACTTCTTCAATACTTAAACATAAGGTCATTTCCTCTTGGACAGCCCAACTGTGTTCTTCTCTCCTTCTTCCTCTATTTCTGAGATTTTACTCCCTCTCACCTTAACTCTGGGTTCTTATTCTTAAATTCTCTTCTTTCTCTTTGTAAGATTTGATATGTTTCTTCTGTTGAAGTACGAAGCTGCTGACGGAATGAAGATTTGCAAGTTGCTTTTTCTTGGGATTGTGTTTAGTGCACTCGTCTTGAGGATTGACGCCATGCGGCTGGGCCGGAGTCAACCCACTGAGCGAATTTCAGGTCCCTTCCTATGCTTTTTAACTTGATTCCTTGTCGATTTTGATTGTTATGATCGAGGATTTTCTTGTAGTACTTTACGTAACCCTCAAATGATTGGGTTTCCACCCTCCGTATTTAATACAGTCTTAATGGATTTATGGATCTCGTTGCTCCTGTAGATTTTGACCTAATTAAGCTTGTGTTGGCTGTTATCTATGAAGGTCGCCCGTAGTTATGGGTGATATGCCGCTAGGCTAGGATAGCTGGTTTTTATGTTCAATGCTTGCTTAAGCTAAAGCTCGACTTAAAAACGACGTTATTTAATTAAGTGGAAAGTGAGACAGTAAAGGAGTATAAGCAAAAACTTGGTGAAGCTTGTCAGTGCGATTTGGAATTTTGGTTAAGTTTAGCCACATTTTGATACATGATATTGCCCTAGGCACCTGATCAAGGATAGCTAACGGGGAGAAGCAATTGAAGAGAAGAATGAACTAAAATTTATTTTGATCAGCAAATAGTGTCTACTTTAGTCAGAACGTAGAAGGAAAAAAAAAGCAAATCCTGCGTGTTTGTGAGAAAACTAATTTAAGGAAAATGCTTGAACATGACAATCATGAAATTTGAAGCAAATTCACCATTCTTGAAGTGTGTCAGATTCAATTCAGTCTACTTAATGGGCATTCCCAAAGTGGTTTTTTGACTCAGTGTAGGAGCCTCTTCAAACAGGGTTTCTTGCTATTGATTCAGTGATCCCTATAGGACATCAGAATGAAGAATTACTTATTGGAAACAGATAGACTGGTAAAAATTCCGTATCCACGGGTGCAATTCTCATCCAACAAAAGGCAAATGTAATATGTGTTTATGGTCTAAAAG